CTCAAATCGAATGCATTTTTAAAAAGTAATGGAAAGAGTCTAAAATTCTATCTGGTTAAAGAATCACCGGGTGTGATCACTTTTTTAAACAAATTGATCAACTATCCTTGTAATCACATTCAATCTGTTATTCATATCACTACTCTAAGGAAATGATTTCTGATGTGGATTTACCCATATCCCAAACTATATCACACAATACCTGAAATAATGCCTGGGCAATAATATCCATTAAATAGACAGTTTCTGAGAACAGGAAAGATGGGAGGCAGAGAGATAAGTGGGTGAGTGAGTAGATGGGTAGATGGACCTATGTACATCTAGCCTGTATCTAATTCTATGGCATTTTACTTAAAATGATAATTTTAAAAACCACAACTTAAGAACTTCAGAGCTAAAAGCAAGTGTGTGTGTGTGTGTGTGTGTGTGTGTTTAAATCAAGTACCAATATATTCTAATGAGTAAAAGAAATGTCCAACCTATCAATAAAACATATAAAGATTCAATTAAAACATTTATGTATAGTTTTTTTTTTGGAGCTTCTCCTAATAGAACGTTTCATCTTCCCATTGACTAAATAATAAATAAAATCAGAATAGAAAAATTCCTCAAGTACTGTGTTTATAATTAGTTTTATTCATAGGAATAACATTTACCTGAATGGCAATATTGCGATCCTGAGCAAATTCAAGTTCTTTGTTTTTCTCAGATAGTGCCTTCAGTTGACTGCCTGGATAAAAGGAGTTTTATGATCATACACACAATGGTTAAACTTGCAATTAACAGGTTTTATCCAACTGCCACCCATATACACTTTAAAATTAAGAAACTGAGTCTCAGAAAGACATCGTATTCCAAATTCATAAATACATTCCAAATTTACTGTACTTCTAGACCAAATTTTAAAATATTCTATCCTGTCTCAAAGTTACATGTGATCATTCTAGCCAACATTTATAGGAAAAAAACATATGTAATTATCAATTTCCTTATTTTTCAACATCTTCCAGATCAATTATAAAAAATAGTGAATTGTATCTACAAATAAGAAAACGGAGCTAAAAAATAATAAGCAACATTTATACTACATAAAATGTATATACAATAAATCACAATAGATAATGAAATTGTAATTCAGCTTATTAATCACTCTAAAGAGAGCCTTTAACATGGAAGAAAGAAAACTATGCTTGAAACTAAATTACCAATCCCACAACATCCACTTACAGTGGGCTATCTCTCTCCTTATATAGTTTCTCTTCTAAATACATGAAGGTAATTAGGAATGAGTGTACTTTCTGAACCTTTCTTCCATTAAAACTTATCTATATTTACGTGGTAGCAACTTAATAAGCAAATACATTATTACTATTTCCAGTGTTAAGTTCTATTTCGACAATTGGCTTACTAAAAGAAAAAACTCTGGTAATTAGTCTAAGTTTTCTATTTTGCTTCAAGATTACAACCTTCTAAATGTATAGATCTAATATAATAAATTAACAAAATATAAATGTAACTGTACACCTCAGGTGCCTGTGTAGGTTCATCCCACCTTTCCCTCCCTCTTCCTTTTCCAGATCTCATTAAAGGAACTGTAATAGGTCATTTTCCTGAAATTCTTCAACATCACTGCTATACAGACCTTTTTATTATACCAAGGCAAAAAGACATATAATCAACTGGATCTAGTTACTCAATAAGTACTTATGCTCTCATTACACATGTATCCACACCATGCCATCATATGTATATTTTAAAAAAATGAGTGGTACCAAAATTAGTTGGAAAAAAGTTATGACTTAAACAAACAGCCAATGGGCATGAACAAGGCTGAAGTTTTAACCATCCTCCTTATTATTAGCTTCCTGAGTTCCAAATTCAAGTCCAGGTATATCTAGTAACAAATATTATTCCCCTTCGCTACCCAGGTCTTTCTGACATTTGCACATAATATACATCACCTTCCAAGAAATGTGAGGACCTTTAACTAAGATCTTGTGTACCTTCTAGGATTTAATGATGTAAGAAAAATAATTGAGAAGGAAATTAGCTGCTCATCTTTCACCTGAACTAGGATTAAGTAGGAAATTCCTGAAATACTTATAAAAATTATAAAGATAGTTAAAACATAAATATTACGAAACTAATAGGTTTTAATTTTTCAACATAAAAATAATTAAGTCACCCTCTTTACCTTTCAGTTACATAATTGTTTTAATTTTTCAAAATGCTTTCCTATATATCACATATGATCTGTACAACTGTGTAAATAGACAGGCATGAGTTCTAGCCATTTTATGAACAGGTAGGCACTGTTTTGAGTCACATGTGGCAAAAGGGCTTTTTAATAGTACTCAGAATTAGACACCAGGCTTCCTGACCATTACACCCTAGATTCTTTTATAGTCTTTACCAATGAATGAAAAATCAAAATGTTACCATAAATGAAAACAATATTTTCATATACGGTACACAAATGTTTCCAAAGTATATATAGGTGTCTAAAGATCTCAATACTCCACAAATATGATAAAGATGTAGTGAAATACTCACTGAGCTTCTCCAGCTCAAGCCGCAAGCTCTGGCACTCTCGGGTTTCATTCACAAGTCTCTCCTGACTGTGAGACAGTCTCTTCTCTACCTCAAAGTACTGTTGTTCTTTGGAAGAGCAGAGGAAAAAATTAAAATCAAACACGTATGTACACACAATTTCAATACTGCCACTTAGTTTTAATAAGCTTCATTTAAAATGTAAGACAGTATTGGGACTGCACTCCAACAACTTGAGTAAAGGCAAATACATCAAGCACGGAAAATGATGTCAATATTTCCAACTGACTTATATGTATATGACAAAAAAAAAAAAAAAAAGGCCTAAGGGGGATTTTACAAATTACATGTCTGTCTATCCCACACAATTACGAACTTCTTCAAGGCAGGTAACATATGTCACCTTAGTACTTTCCCCACATTTTAGCATAAAGCAGCCAAATAAGCTATATTAAATGGAGAAAAAAAAATTAGATTAAAAACTGTTTTGCTTTAAAAGGCTTGTTACAATAGCCAAAATAATACCTAAAGTATAAAATTACTAAATTTACGTGAAAACAAATGCGTTACCTTACCAAGGAAAGTGACTTGAGTATGTACTGTTCAGCATTGTATCAAGCACATCAAAGACACTCAATATTTTTTGTGTCAATTAATGAATAGAATGCAGTGTATTATATTCACTTTTGAGACTCAGAAAATTCATTTTCAACATCAATTCTGCTTGATAATTACATTTCTTGAATTAAAATGTATTCATAATTTTCAGTCAACTTCATAAAACCCAGTGCCAATCCCCCCAAACAACTGATAAACCAAAGCATACAACATGAAGTTTGTATTTTACTAATGGTAATTATTATGCTCTTAATCTTTTATCACGATGTTCAAAAGGCACTATTGTTGGTAACTGCTTTTCTTTAAGGGTATACTACTGGTATTAATAAAATAATGTCTTAACATATTTTCTATTACACTCCAACGTTTGGAGACAAGTCCGATACATTCAAGTTATTCACTGCATGTTTCACTTCGTTGCCAACGGCGTCCTAGGCACCTGCTCATTTTTGTGAACATCTAATTCGTTACTGGACCAGATTCACACACACTCAAAACAAATGCATGAAGCAGTCAATCAGACAAAGGCCTCCGAAGGCAGGTGACCGGACAACAGAATGAAAATCACCATTTATTTCCGTGCAATTTACAGAGAGGGTGCTCTAGGCTGAGATTTGGGGTTGTTTAGTCCGGAGAAAGAAGATCCAAAGCTTCACAATTTCTCCTACCCGGTTTACAAAGAAAACGGACCTGAATGTGGATGCAGATTTACAAAAACAAACGAATGAAAAGGCTCCTTCGTACCAAACTGTGAGAGGGGCAGGTCAGACACGGCCTAGGGTGCCCACCGGAGGAGGAAGCGATGCGACCAGCGAAGTCGTCGCCAGTGTGAGCTCGCGAGGGGAGACCAGCCGGAGCTCCGGGCTCGGGCCCAGAACAAGGGCGGGAAGGGCGTCCCACTTACCGCTCTCCACCTTAAATTTCTCGTGCCGCCCCTTCAGGCCATCGATCTCGGACTGCTGGTCGGCCAGGAACTTTTCAAGTTTGTTCTGCACGGACTTCGGCAGCTTGTTGAGTTCAGTGCGCTCCAGGACCTGCTGCAACACCGCCGCCATGTCGGCCGGGCCGGGGGCCGCCGCTGCTGCGGACGACGGGGCAGAAACGGAGAAAGGAGCAGACCAGGAAGACCCAGAGGCCTGGGCGGCCACCTCTGCCACCTCGCTCGGGGGCTCGCCCGCGCTTGCACGCCGCAGGCTCCCGCGGCGGGACCCTGGGAAATCGAGTCTTGTGTTAGCCGGTGCCCCAGAAGCGCCCCAGCGTCCGCGCCCGAATGCGCGCGCAGCTGCTGGAAGCGGTGCACCCTGGGAACGCGAGTTCAGAGGCAGCCTCTGACGCGAACCGGCACCCGGATTTCCGGCTCCCTTTCCCACCCGCTTCAAGCCCCGCAGGACTCTGGGAAACGTATTTTTTTCTCAATGGTTCGGGTGAGCCCAGTTCCGCATCGGCGGTTCAGGTTCCTTCTTTTCCCCGCCCCCCGGCTCTCCTGGGCCGGCCGCGAGACCGCTGTCCGCGAGGTGGCGCCACATAGTACATGTTCACCCCCGTCCAGCCCTGAAAAGCAGGGCAACCTTACCGTCGAAGCTTCGTGATGCCATGGGGAGTCCTCGTTGGCGGCTTCTGGACACTGAGCCGCTAGAGGGCATCGGTCCCGGCAGGGCCGGACGGCGGGCGCCAGGCCAACGCCACGCTCCCAATGGTGCCCGGAAGGGGGCGGGGTGGCGACCGCCGGCGCTTTGGCGGAGGCAGTGCGGGGAAGGCAGGGGCGAGCGCGTCATCAGGCTGCGCCGCCGCACTCCGGAGACCCCGGGCTGGGAGTGGGAAGTGAGGCGGGGGACGTCCGTCGCTTCCTGATGAATTCATCGGCCCTGGGGGCCGGAGGGGAATCTGGCCCCTGGAGGCTGGTATTTGAACCCTAAACTCCCTTCTCATGCCGACTGCAGGTCCGTCTGCCACGCGTGCAGGTGAGCCAGCCCAAGGGTGTAATGCGTGTGCGCGAGGGTGGTGTGTGTGCACTTGGACACAGCTTCCAGTTTGAAGGACGAAAGCACCCGACCGTAGGAAACATATGGACAGAACTTCGTACAACACACTCAGATCCAGGCAGGACACACTCACCGTATTTGAAACGGTTCTTTAGAGGACGTGTGCGCGCGTGTGTGTGCGTGTGTGTGCGCGCGCGTGCGTGGCGGGGTGGATAGCCGTGATCCAGCAGGAATGTAAGAAACCCGGTTCATCTTTCAGGGAAAGATTTTAAAAAGAAGCGAGGAGGAGTTGGAGAGTAACCTTGTTTATGATTTAAGGTAACATTTTCTGCGATGTTAACAGAACTTGTATTTTTTAAATTGGAAAACTGTTGTAACAAAGTTTTTAAACACATTCTTTTTGTTGTTGTTGTTATCCTCACCCAAGGACATTTTCCTATTTTTTTTGTTCAGATAGAGTGGGAGGGAGAGAGAGAGAGAGGAAGAGAGAGAGAGAGAGAGAGAGAGAAAGAGAAACATCCACCTGAAAGGGACACATCATTCTTAAACACTTCTCGCTCTGCCACCATAAGAGAACTGTTTGTGTCCAGATCTAACTCTGTGGCTTCTGAGCTGAATCGGAAGATTACTTAATGTTTAGTTGCGCTTCTAAAATAATTTATTAATTTCTTTATTGAAAAGAAAGCACAATGGATGTCGTTCACTCTGCAGCTCCCACAGTAGCAGGCCTTTTGTGAATATCAGTAAGGAGCTTGAGGTTGATTTATTTTACCCCCCAAGTATTTTACGTAAGCATTTTAAATTAAGTTTGCGGGTATGTGCAGTCCTGCACTGTGTCCTAGGTCCACAATATTATCATATAATTGATCTGCCATTTGGGAAATGCAGATAGTTTGTACATGAACTCACAGAATCCTGTAATTTTGAGACCTGCTGGGATTCAAATTCCTTATTTTGTAGATGAGGTAATCAGTACAGGGAGGTAGAGTTGTCTCAAGGCACCGTGTTTGGAAAACTTGCAAAGCTTCTGCTGACACAACATTTCAGGAAAAAATGAACTGTGTAAGTTCCTTTGTAAAATATGGTTGGCTACATTTAAAAGTTTAAAAGGAGCACTAAAGAAAAATAGCTAACATTCAACCAGATTTTATAACCCAATACATTTTCATCTTCCTATTGCATTCAGTTTCTTATACGTTAACATGGCTAGTAGGTGACACCTTAAAAGAAATAAAATTAAAAGGTTACACACCATAACTTTGGAGTCACTGTCATGGCTGTTTCTTGCAAGAATTAGGAATTATTAGGCCAGAAAGAATGGAGTGGAATAGCATGATGAAGTAGAGAAAAGTTTAATACACAGAAATGCATACTTTATTTATTTATTTATTTTTAATTTATTTATTTTTGTTACAGATGTTTCTCCTTTTCCCCCCACAGATTTGACCTTCCTCCTCCCTCCCCACCCTGTCCCCAGTTTTGTTGTCCATGTCCATTGTTCATGCATACATGCATACAAGTTCTGTGGTTTATCTCTCCCCCACCACCCCCCTCTTCTGGGGATTGTCAGTCTGTACCGCACTTCCACGTCTCTGGGACTACCCCGTTCCTCAGACTGTTATGTTCATTATATTCCACAAATAAGTGAGATGATGTGATATTTGTCTTTCTCTGCTTGGCTTGTTTCACTTAGGATAATACTCTCCAGGTCCCTCCATGTTGTCTCAAAGGATAAGAGATCTTTCTTTCTTACAGCTGCATAGTACTCCATTGTGTATATGTACCACAGCCTTTTTATCCATTTGTCTACTGATGGACATTTGGGCTGTTTCCAGATCTTAGCTATTGTAAATAATGCTGCTACGAACATGGGGGTACTATATTCTTTCTGATTGGTGTTTCAGGCTTCTTAGGGTATATTCCTAGAAGTGGGATCACTGGGTCAAATGGCAGTTCAATTTTTAAATTTTTGAGGAAACACCATATTATTTTCCATGGTGGCTGCACCAGTCTGCATTCCCACCAGCAGTGTACTAGAGTCCCCTTTTCTCCACACACTCGCCAACACTTGTTGTTTGATGATTTGTTGATGGTGGCCATTCTGACAAGTGTGAGGTGATACCTCAAGAAATGCATACTTTAAAGCACTACCAAAAGTCAAAAGCCCTTACTTTATAGAGGCATTAATGATTTAGACAGGCCTACTTAATCTAAACAAAAATAGTGTGCAAACCCACCTATTTGCATGGTTGTCGGAAAAGAGATAGGAAGAAATGTATTTTGAGGCAAAACTAAATAGGCTCTTTGAAAAAACAAAACAAAAACAAAACAGCACTCAGTAGACCATTTCGAACTGGGACCAGTCTCTGGGCTTAGTTTTAGGTAATGCAAAATCACTGTGACTGGCGTTTACTGGTGTCAGATACGCCACCCAACACATCTGTAGTTGCCTTGACTTTGTTGTATTGACTAAGATTGAAAATTCTTTACAGAACTCAAATAACTGTAATCTCTATTTAAAATGCTACAGCTGTGTTCCTACAGTCTTTTACAGCTATCTTCTAACATTTTGAATATCACCTCTTTACATTATTGTCTCCCACACTGACTGTGAACTCTTTGAGATCATCATTCATTATTGCCTAGCTCTTTCAGTCAGCATCTTTGGTTTTTAGCTGCAGAAAATCAAATCAAAGGAGCATAAGCCAGGAAGAGGAATACACTGATTCTCATCCACAGTTGGGAGTTAACCCGTAGTAATGGTTTAATAAAGAGATGGTATGATTCTTCAGTATGAGCATGGTATTTAAGGGCATGGATTTTAGAACAAGACTTGAGTTTAAATCCCACCTTTGCCACTTACCAGCTTTGTCATGTGGGCAAGTTACATTACCTTTTGTTTGTTTGTTACATTACATTTGTGAAAATGTACAAATGTTATTATTGCATTGCTATTCATCTACTTCGACAGCCCTTGTTGTGCCATGAGTTACTGAAGAGCAGAGATCAAGTATTACCTTTACATCATCCCACCCGGTACAATTTCTAGGATGTAGTAGTTCTTCCTAGTATGCTTATTGAATAAATGAATCTGCTTCTTTCTACCTCCTGGTGAGCAAACCAAATATTACCATCTTTGCCCTGGCCAGTAGCTCAGTTGGAGCATCGTCCCGTACACCCAAAAGGTTGCTGGTTTGATTCCTGGTTAGGGCACATACCTGGGTTGTGGGTTCGATCCCCGGTCAGGGCACTTACAGGAGACAACCAATGTTTCTCACCCACATCCATGCTTCTCTCTCTCCCTTCCTGTCTCTCTAAAAATAATTTAAAAAATATCCTCAGGTGAGGATAAAAAAAAATTATCTTTTCTGTTTGAGAAATGAGCACATTGAGACTCAGCAAGGCTTATCAAAGATAACACAAGTAAGGAGTACTACATCTGAAATAAGAAATCTAGTGTGTTGACTACTTGAAGTGTCCCCTCCCTTATCCCAGGTATGTAATTAAGTTTCATCTCTCATATCAACTCTGGTTGATTAGTAGTCATTTACTGCAGCACCATGCTCAGAATTCTAAAGCTACATTTGAACTTTGCAGATAAGAATACCCTGTTCAATAAGCAATCACCGTGAGGCACGGGGCAGCATCGAGGAGGCTTCTCTCTGCACTTCCCCCATGAGAAAACGTTGCAAGTTACCAGTTTTTCTGTATATATGTACATATATGCATACATATACATGCACATGTATATGTATATATATATTGTGTGTGTGTGTGTGAGAATACATATAATTTTTTTTTTTTGGTAATTTAGGAGATTGAATTAATTCCCAATAATGGGAAGAACCTACATTGTAGAAGAGACTGTTGGCCAGTATCTTTCAAACCTCAATCTCCAAGGAAAGTCTTTTGTCTCCGGTCTTTTAATAGGACAGGTATGTATCTTTTACAGTGTATTTATTGACAGAACAAATTACCTGTTTACTTAAAGTTGAAATAATACTATTTAACAATAAACTCAAGGTTAGGGGCTGAAGGGATGGAATGTAGAAGTAAATTTAAAATGGCTTTTTGAGGGAAAATGTGGAGGAGTAAGACAAACCTAGTCCAGGTTTGCCCAAGTCAAAACACATTCCTTTTTGACAATGTAAAAATAATTTATAGTGGGGAAACACCAAAGTTAGAATTTTTACTGACTACATTATTTGTGGTTTTTGTGTATGTGTTTCCAAAGTGTTTTGTACTCCCTTCTAATCTTTATTAATTCCTGGTTGTTCAATTCTTTATAGAAGGAGCTTTTGACAGTTTTATTCCTGTTCTAGTTTGTCTTATCTCAGACTTGTAGCAACAGTGGTTCTATATTTTGTTGCATAGTATAATACCTAACTTAATGTTGATTCCATGGAGAGGGAGAGGAAAAGGTGAGAAGTTTGAAAAATAGACACATTCTATTTCCTTCATAGAATTAAGCCTTAAAAATCAATACACACTGGAATAGCCATTTGGACAGTTACTTTAAAAAGCATAAACACCAACTGATTTATTATAATTTAAGGAAGACCATGTTAATGAGCAAGGAGAAGTAGTCAGCAATACAAAGCAACACCACCACCAAATTGAGTTACATAGACAAACTGCCTGTATCTGTGTAAACACTATTTAGGGGAAAGTGCACTGTGGCCAAAGGACTTGATTTGGAGGCCTATTAATAAAACTCTATTGTGACAGTTTTCTTTCTGGATATTTTATCATGGTGCCTTAGAACATTCAAGTTGCATAATTAACTTTCCTTGTTCTGATTATGTCCACATTCCCAAGCTACTTTATCTTATAATTTGATGCCCCATGTTACCTGCTACATGAGTTCTCTGGTCACACCTTCGTGGTCACAAATCTGATTTCTTAACCTGTAAGACAGAGGGCAGACCCTGCACTGTTCACCCAGGTAGTACCATCCTATGAAGCCTCCCATTAGATAGCCAGCCCACCTGCCTCTCTGGGCAACAATCTGAACTTTTTTATTCAGGATACTTAATATCTAATATAGGGCTCTTTTGGCTAGGAACTTTTATTTTCCATTATTTAAAAAAAAATTAAGGGAAGAAGAGTTTTAGAGAAAGATGGGATCAGTGAAATAAAAGCCTATGAGAAATATTCTTCTCCAAACTTGCCTTACTGTACAGTTTCTTATAAATAACTCTAATTTAGGGCCTAACTTCTGCTCTAGTTTCATGCTGCCTTTTCATTCCTTCCATTATTCTACATGTTTTTTCTTCCTCTTTATTCCAGGTTCATCACTTTTCTCTCCTTCCCTTCAAACTTGTCTGATTCCTACTACTAGGATCATTTTCTTTTCAAAGTCATAGAATTATGAGAAGGAAGAGCTTTTGTAATCAGCTCTTACCTTTTCCTGTGTACATTTGAATGTAACTCTCTGGAAACAACTTTTGTAGAAATAACTTCTCTTTCTTTATTTTTTAATCCAAGATGACACTAATGATGCAATTTTAGGTCATGTCTGAGGATGACCCGATATTAACTTGTATTATCGACCTTATTTTTACTCTTTCTTTATTGGAAACTTCCACTGTAATAACATTGAGCTACTGAATGTTCCCTAAATTTATCTTTGTATTTCCCACCTTTGATTACCATTTAACTGCCACTAAAACTGAGGAACATAAATCTGATGTCACTTCAGTGACCTGTCCTGTTGTTTGCTGTTGTGTTTTTTTTGTCTTTTTAAATTATTGTTGACATACTATATTTGTCATTTCAATGAAAGTAAGATGCATAAGATCATTTGTTGCTTTATTTTACTGAATCACCCAATCTGTTCAAGTGATATAGGAAATAAATGTAATACCTAGGAAATTGACTAAGCATATTGATTATCTTTTGGTTTAAATGCTGTTCATTCACTCATCCAGGAAGCTATTTTTAGTGACCACTATGTAATTCACATTTGGTTGTCCAAATAAATAAGAGGCTAATGTTAAATATATTAAAAGACAATGTGCAAAAGAAGCGTTATAAGGATATTTATGACAATCTATAGATTCCATTATAATACAGATTTTAACAGTTTTAAGCTGTTACAGATATTACTCAGTTTTTGCATGTCTTAAGAGCTTTATTCCTCAGTCAGGTATCACTCTAAGTTTTTCTAATTTGTTTTTAAGTGTTCTTCACAAAAGGATTATGTGATTCTTGCTACTAGAACACCACCCAAAGAGGAAAAAAATGAGAACCTCAAACATCCCAAAGATAAGTTGGATAACTTGGATGAAGAATGGGCCACAGAACATGCTAACCAGGTCATCATATTTTTCGCCTTATATAGTTAAGTTTGTGTTTATTGACTGACAAAATAAAAACACTTTATCTTCAGATTACCAGACTAGGATTTCAAAATACTCATTCTTAAGTTTTCATAACTTGCATTTTCTTACTTGAAGTTAAGTAACCTACCCAAGATTAGAGATTAAGTAGTGGAACTGGGATTTGAACCCAGGCAGTCTGGCTTTTTGATCTTATGTTTTGTTTTTCCACTGTTAATTTTTATCCATTGTATTTCTAATGTATCTCTTACTATTGGTCAAGTAGCTTATTTCCAATTTTTCTTTTCTGTAAAATAATACTAGTTATTAATAATAGAGTTTTTTGATCAGATTGCTTTAAAGACTTAATCTAGGCACTGAGGGAATAAAATGATGGTTAAATTAAAAATAAAAATATCACCCAGCTGGTGTGGCTAAGTGGATTGAGCGTCCTCCCATGGACTGAGAGGGCCCAATTCGATTCCCAGTTGCAAGCTTGCACATGTCCAGGTTGCAGGCTTGATCCCCAGTACAGGAGGCAGCTGATTGATGTTTCTGTCTCACATCGATGTTTCTATCTCTCTCTCTAAAAAATCAATAAAAGCATATTTAAAAATTTTTTTAAAACGTAAAAATATCCTCAGAATGTATGTTTTAACCAAAGCAAAAGATATTACCCAAACCAGTGTTAAGAGAAATGAGATAGAGATAGAAAGTGTTGCAGTAATGTAGAGGGGGAATGACTAAATACCTGCCAATGGCCAGATTCAGACAGCTTCATAAAAGGCTCTGAACTTGAAAGATGAATGGGACTTTGCCAGTAGAAGTCAGGGAACAAATTAATAAATGCTCAAAAAAAGTTATGGGTAAGTGACCTGAAGCCATGAAAGTTAAAGGTATGTTAGGAGAATAGCAAGAAATTGGGTATAATCGAAACACGGGTATATAAAAGAATGTAGTTAGACATTAGACATAAGGGGCCGGTTATGAATGGCCTTGGAATCCCATCCTAAGAAGTGAGCAGTTTGTTTGGTAGACAGTAGTAGCTCTTTGTAGACTTTCAGAGCTCTTTTTTTTTGAGAAGGAGTTAATAATGATTCAACTGTCAGTAATTTAGAATAATTTTAATTCCTTGGTACAGTATAAATGGAGAGTAGAGACTGGAGACAGAACAGAAAACGTACAGTCATAGCAATAGTCCAGAAAAAGATGATGGGAATCTAAGCTAGACTCAGCTTCATGAGGAACAGGGGTTATGTCTGTTTTGTTTATGGCTATATCCCAGTGCCAAGCATAGTATTTTCATGGTGTGTAAAGAAAACTCCAAATTATTGCATAAATTAATGCATGGATAAACTGAAGCAGTGAGCTAAAACTTCATTGCCAAAACATTCCAGAGAAAGAGCTAGTATCAAGACGATTAAGTGACCAAGTAGATTAGTAGAGAGAGATTGTGAAAGAGTAGCTAAAGATTAATAAGATTTTTAGCCTGGGTTTCTAGGATGGTGTTGATATTACATGGCAGGGAACAGATTTGAGGGTAGGCAAGGAAATGATGTTTAATATCTTCTAACAAAAATATTAAATATCTTTTTTTTTTTATCCTCATCCGAGGACATTTTTCCATTTTTTTGTACAGACAGAGTGGGAGGGAGAGAGAGGAAGAGAGAGAGAGGGAAACATCGATGTGAAAGGGACACATCGAGTGGCTGCCACCCGCACGACCAACCAGGGCCGGGGACAAACTGCAACCTAGGTACATGCCCTTAGCGGGAACCAAACCCGGGTCTCTCTGGACTGCAGGCCGACGCTCTAACCGCTGAGCCAAACCGGCCAGGGCCAAAAATATTAAATATCTTAAACTTAAATTTCCAAAGGGCTTGTGTGTGTACATATATGGATATATGTTTATTTATGTAGTTAATATATGTGTATATAGAGATATTATTTTGCATATACATAAATATATATGTATATATTCACATACAGAAACATAAAACTTATATAGCAAACTAGATTCACATTTTTTGCCTCTAGGAAGAAATGCTTCATTTTATGTTGGTGATTTTGAAAAAATATGCAGGTGCCCTATGCTAAATACAAAAATTATTCTTTATATGTTAGGCTTGTGTTAGTATAGTAAATAGAATTTATAAAATCAGAGGAAACCATCCACTGGTATATACCGGTGATACTACACCGGTATATTAGGGATTATATTATGGTATCTAAATTTCTGAAAACTTAACTGTGTGACCAATTTGTTCGTATATTAACTATACAAAAGATAACCTGTCTCTGAGTATAGATGATAGAAAAAAATCCAGCCCTGGTCGGTTGGCTCAGTGGTTAGAGCATTGGCCCGTGGACTAATGAGTCACGGGTTCAATTCTGGTCAAGGGCACATACCTCGGTTGTGGTTTGTCCCTGGCCCTTGTCAGGGTCATGCAGGAGGTAACCAGTCGAGGTGTCTCTCTCACATCAATGTTTCTTTCTCTCTCTCTCTCTCTCTCCTCCCTTCCCTCCTTCTCCCTCTCCCCCTCTCCCCCTGCCTCCCTCCCTCCCTCCTAATCTATCTGAGGATAAATAGAAAAATATCCTCAGGTGAGAATAAAAAAAAATGAAAGAAAGAAATCCAGGTGGCATTAAGAAGTAGCCACAATCATGTGAAGGGAAAGAATAGATATTATGGAAGACAAACTTGTAGTATGTATCAAACACTTTAGAAATTTGCATAACTGCTTAAACTATTAATCCACCTCAAGAGACTTATCCTAAGCAAATAATCCAGTGAGCACAGAAAGACTTGCTAGGATTTTTAACCAGTATTATTTTAGAGTAAAAAAAATTAGAAGTAACATAAATGCTCAATTATACCAACAGATAGGTTTTTTAAATTGAGGTAAACCTAAACAATAGGAAACAATGGATTTCAAGTCAGACTCCCTCTGTTCAAATTCCAGGCTCTAGTATGCTGCTAAATATTATGGGGATACAAAGGTAGTTGAGAATTATGTCTTCCTTTAAGGACCTCCCAGACCAACTGGTAAGATACCCAAACGTGTAAGAAAAAGTCAGCTCAGGCTGAGGGAACAGCATGAGTAAGGTACAGAGTTAGAAAGCCTGGGCATATGTGCAGAGAACCGTGAGAACTTCTTGGTTGGTGTTTCGAGAAAGTAGTGTCAAATGAGGAAGGCTCTGAATATTAGATTAGCCAGCTTTTAGAGTCTGAAATAGCGGTCTAAAGCAAAATTAACATTTTATTTAGCTGATAGCAGAAGCCATTGAAAAATTTTTAGAAGATATTTCAGTCTCTGATTTCATGAGAAAGGATTTTTTTGGTTTATGTAGCTAATGGGTTTAATTATTAAATGGTTTTATGTATAAGGTAATTTTAGGATAAAAGTTCAGGATACTCTAGGAAGGTTGTGTACATAATGGCCCACCATTCGCCTTGGTTATCATTCGTTTCTCAGCATTTTAAGCAATTTTTCAAAGCCCCTATCTCAATGCTATGCGTATAGTTGGTATTCAGTTGGTATTTGCTGATTTAATATTTAGCTTTTCAAACGAAAAGGATTGTATATAATGCCCAATGTTTATGTTAGCTAATACTATATTTCTATTTTAGGTATCCAGAATGCTACCTGGGGGACTTTTAGTTCTTGGAGTATTTATTATTACAACTTTAGAAATGGGAAATGATTTTCAAAACACCCTGCGCAGAGTAAGTCTGAAATATAAAAATTCTTAATATGATTCAAATTACATCTTATTTTAACTGATTATACATATGTGCAATGATCCTAGGCATATTTAGATTATTGTTCCATAATTCTTTATGCCTAGATTATGTTGAAACAGCTTTTCCATCCAATTGCTTGATATGTTGTGTGTAATAAATATCTATCTATTTGTCTGTCTGTCTGTCTATATATATATTTTTTTTAGTCCTCACTCGAGGATATTTTTTCACTTCAGATAGAGTGGGAGGTAAAGAGAGCAAGAGAAACAGAGAGAAATATCGATGTGGAAAAGACACATCGACTGGTTGCCTCCCGCACGACCCCGACCAGGGCTGGGGACCCAACCACAACCCAGGTACGTACCCTTGACCAGAATCAAACCTGCGACTCTTTGGTCCACAGGCAGATGCTCTAATTGCTGAGCCAAACCTGCCAGGGCCAATATTTATATTTTCAATCAAAACCACATATTTTAAAATAGTCTGTTTAAAAACATTATTTACTATTATGAAACACGTTATACTTATTTAACTGTTTTTGTCATGTAGTCATATTCTGCTAGACCTTTCATTTAGTTTCAAGTGATTGCTATAATGTGAAATGAACAGATTTTGCAAGTCTTTGCCTGTTCAGTTCTCTCAGTATCCTGAAAGTAAAATATAAAGTAATAGTAATCAGGTACTTATTTTTCATTCCTGGACAGAGTATCTGCCGTGAGTCTCCTGCCTTGTTCTAGTCCTACATCCGTGAACTGGGTAATGTGGTGTAGATGCAAACATGTAGGTTCATAGGTCATTTCCCCTTAAAACCTAAAGCACGCTCTGCAGCCAGCTTTCATCTCTCTTTTACTCAAGATCCAAATGAGCCTTTAAACGTTATTTACCACCCCAAGAGAGGAGACCCCACCATCTTGAGAGTGTAAAAATCCACCCCGGCTTATGTGGTGCAATGGTTACAGCATTGGCCCTCCACCGAAGGGTTGATATTTGGCTCGATTCCCAGTCAAGGGCATGTGCCTGGGTCGCAGGTTCTATCCCCAACCCTGGTTGGGGCGTGTGCGGGAGGCAGCTGCACACATTGATGTTTTTCTTTCTCTTTCTCTGTCTCTCTCTCTCTCCCTCCCTCCCTCCCTCCCTCCTCCTCTCCCTCTCCACCCCTTCCACTCTATCTAAAAATCAATGGAAAGAATATCCTGAGGTGAGGATTAACAACAAAAGAAGTGCAAAACCCACAGAATCCCACAAAACTTTTTCTAATAAAAAAGTGTGCAGCTAAGAATTCCAGATGCTATAGATTCTTCTAGTTTTATAACCTTCATATCAAATGCCCTCAAACCTTTGATATTTGTTCCTAAGAGAGGAAGGGAAGTTATTCAACCTTCTGCCATCTTTTGCCTTTTAAATACATGTATATTTCACACTCATTCTCATTAGCATTTTAGAATACAATCTACATCTTTATGTATTTAATAACATTGTTTGTGCATCCTGTTGTGGTTGGTGCAGGATTGAATGGGGTGGATATGGGCTCAGTGACAGATACAGTCAGGTCCTAGGAATCTTTCTTCCAAAGAAGCATGAGACTTGAGAAATGCTGTATTTCAGAAATTATTGAGTTTAAATTTATCTAACTTTGCTTTCATTGGCCAGCATTGAGAGAAACTATAAGAAAGAACTTTGTAAAATTTGCCAGTATCTCCCATAAGGTCATTGTTAAGAACTTTGTTATATCACGTTAATATTGTCTTTGAAGAAATTTCTTTTGATGTCATGATGAAGAAGGTTGTGCCTTTTCTAATCAGTTGTTATCAGCTTTATGGCCCACATGAATTAGGTAGCAGATTAGGTTTCTCTGTGCATATTATAAGAAAGCTTACAGCCAAATTTATGACTCCTCTCCCCGTATCAAGTATGCGCTTTTATAATTCTTAATTCTAACATAAGTATATGTCGCTATTTCTTATTTTTTTTCACTTTTTATTTATGTTACTACTATATTTTATGTGTTCTTATATATTGTCTTAATGCCCTGGCTGGTCTGGCTCAGCAGTTAGAGCGTTGGCCTGCAGACCAGAGAGTCCCAGGCTCAGTTCCCACTAAGGGCACATACCTCAGTTGCGGTTTGTCCTTGGCCCTGTTGGGGTCATGTGGGTGGCAACCAGTTGATGTGTCTCTCTCACATCGATGTTTTTCTCTTTTCCCCCCTACCTCCCAATCTAACTGAAGATAAATGCAAAAATGTCCTGTGTGAGGATAAAATATATATATATATATATATTTACACACACACACACACACACACATAGTCTTAAATCTTTGGTGACATTTAAATAAGAAATGCCAAATGGGTGACATGCTCATTTTTACAGTTTAAAAATAACTTGTCATTTCTCACTCTAATTAAAATAAAACCTTTATTCTGTATTTCACTGAAATGTTAGTTGCCAAAAATTAATTGTTCATGTCTGGTTGATTCTTAATACAATGGATTATATTTTTCTATTTAATAACCAATTGTTATGTAAATAGACCCAAATGGTTAATAATCAGTTTCTCGCCCTGGTCGGTTTGGCTCAGCGGTTAGAGCGTCGGCCTGCGGTCCTGAGAGACCTGGGTTCGGTTCCCGCTAAGGGCACGTACCTCGGTTGCAGTTTGTCCCTGGCCCTGGTCGGTTGTGTGGGTGGCAGCCACTCGATGTGTCCCTTTCACATCGATGTTTCTCTCTCTCTCTCTCTTCCTCTCTCTCCCTCCCACTCTACCTGAACAAAAAATGGAAAAATGTCCTCGGGTGAGGATAAAAAAAAAAAAAAAAATTTAATAATCAGTTTCTCTCTTTCTTTGGAAGAAAAACAATTTAATGGTAGAATCATGGAATTTTAAAGATAGATGGTGTCTTAGGGCCATTATAGTTATTTTTTTCTACACTCACTTCTTTAATTTTGCATTCAATTGGTATGTGTTTTCCTCTCTTTCAGCTAGTATTTGCCATGGAAAAATCTATGAATAAAAAGAGACTATGGAATTTCACAGAGGGGGAAGTCTCAGATCGAGTGACACTTCACGTGTGCTCTTCTACAAAGAAGTATCTTTTAATTATGTGTTTATGTTTTTAAAGTATATGATGGCAAAATAATATCCTTGCAAGTTTCTCCCCCAAACATTTATTTAAATTGTTATTTAAAAATAGGCATAGTTTGTGAGTTTTTCTGTAAATAACACATAATTAGGACTGCTAATAATAGTAATAGTGGTTGTTTATTATGTCTCAGGTTTGCAAAGAGTTTGACAGAGGTAGGCTAGGACTGGGGACTGGGGACGGGGAACTGTGTACCAGCTATCTGCCCTGTATGCTGAAGCACAGCAGGTCCCCTGCAGAGAGGTAGATACCCAACTGACAGCTTAGGTGAAGTAATGCTTTTATTATGTTAAATTGCACCTCCATTTGCTATTGATAAAATGTTCAAAGCACAGGTGCACTGAGCTGGACAATTAGGACATCCAAGAAATTCTTATATGCCCAGCCAGTGTGGCTCAGTTTGTTGAGTGTTGTCTCATGCATGAAGAGGTCCCGGTTCAATTCCCAGTCATTGCACATGCCCAGGTTGCGGCTTGATCCTAGTAGTGGGTGTCCAGGAGGCAGCTGATTGATGTTTCTATCTTTGTCCCTCTCTAAAATATCAGTTTAAAAAAATAAATTTTTATGTCTTTAGCCAAGGTCATAGGACACTAAAATCCTGTTTTAGGGCTTCCTTAGTTTTCTCCTCTACAGTCGGCCCTCGTTTATCACGGTTAATCAGTTCCAGACTCTACCGTGATAAATCAGTTTCCGCGAAGAAAGATTCTTTCTTTATACAGTCATCCCTCGCGGTAGAGTGAAGCGGCGAGTCGAGCGCGAGGTGGCGAGGAGGACTGCACATCTTGCCAGGGCGAGGGTGCCTCCCAAGCAAGAGACAGCCTCGCGAAAGGAGGGAAGCGATGGAAGGGCCCCGGTGTGTCCGGGTTTGAAAAAGACAATTCAGAAAATGATCATTCCTGCAGAAGCTTGGCTTTTAACTTCTTTGGATATTTAACTAGATAGTTTTATATACAGGCCCCTTGACCCAATAAAGATTCTCAGGCTTGACTCCATCCAAAACAGCACAACTATTTGTATTACAGGGTGTGTATTTGAGGAAAATTTTGCAAGTGTTTTTATTCTATTCATTGTGATTAGCAGAATTTCCTATAGCAGGTAAGGGATAGGAAATAGTTTAAAGCGCAACTATAGTCCTAGCAATTTATATATGCATGTGTGTGTGTATTTGTACAAACATATGTACACATAAATATGTATATATATCATTAAGTGTATAAAGTTGGTATGATTTTGTAAAAACTCATGGATGCTTACACTTTATTTTGTTTTTATCTTTGATGGTTTATTTTCTTTTAATTAACAAGCATTACTTCTTTTTTGGGTCAGTTCTATCCTTAATTAGTAAAGAATAGTTTGTCGAACTTATGATATCCACGATCCAAAGGTAAGAGAAACTGCTCTTTAAAGGTTTTTCTGTGTTGCAGACTGTTTTAAAAATAAAATTCAATTCTTTATTTAGTTTTAATAATTGTCAATGCTAACCTCTACTATTGATGACCACAACCACCTATAGTTTTTTTATTTTGAAATATTTCATTACAGACAAGGAAAGTTTGTTTATTTTTAATTGTTAACATATTATTATTAAGATCCCCCTGTCTTGTTTATATGTCTAATATTACATTTGAGTGGCTGGTAGTAAAAGTAAGTGGACTTTTGGTAGCTGTAATGCCTAGTAAGGAAGCTGTTGTACACAGCAGAATCCATAGTAACATTTTACTAAGGTGTTTCAAGGCAATGTGAAAAAGTCACTCGGCAGAATTCTGTTAGCTAGGATGGGACAGAAAGGAGAACATCTGGCACCTAGTCAGTCACTCAGTGATTGCTTGCTTCACATCAGAAGCTTCAGAATTGACATTGTTGAAGCTACAGATGAGAACTGGAGGCCCAGAGGACTTGTCAGAATTCTAAATGTGGACTCTTTGATCTGGGAGTTGCCAAGTGCAGTATTCTGAAGATTACTAAATTAAATGAATGCTTTGTTTTTATTTGGTTCTAACCTATTGCCCTTTGATGAAAGAATTTGGCCAAATATATTAGTTATCTGGCCAAATATATTAGTTATCAGGTTGTGTAAGTTATTAGATTGTACATATTATGACCAAACTCACATTTTATGTTTTTCCCCCTTCTTCACTGCTAAAGAGTTCAGCGAAACCAGCAGATTGGAAGTATCAAAATGGACTATCAACTTCCTGGCTTTCTTTAGAGTGTACAGTTCATATTAATATTCACATCCCGCTGTCTACTACTTCTGTCAGCTATACTCTGGAGAAAAATGCAAAGGTATCTGGTTAAATGAATTTTCCGTAGTGATTGCTGAATAGATAATCTGCTCTTATTCTGGTTGTCTGCCATTCATTTTATGATTCTCAAAAACTGCTAATTATAATGATATTGTTAGGGCTAACTAATTTATTGCCCCAGATTACAAATTTAAAGGTAGAACAATGTCATAATACTAATATATTTAGCATAATAGGTACTCCATAAATATTTTTAATTAACATAATTATGTACATTGTAAAACATAGTTATGTAAGAAGATACACTGTTTGGTCTTTTTGCTATCTTTTGGTCTTTAGTTTTTTTTCCCTTTTTCAGTCCCTTTTAGAAATTTTTATATCATTCTTTTGTTCATGTCTCATTTCTTTTCTGTTAAAGGAGGCAAATGGAGGTTGCTTATTTTTCCTCTGTATTACTGCTTCATATGTTTGAGGCTCTTTTCTCTTTTCTCACATTTTTTAAAGATAATGGGAATAACTGAGTTTATTTGACTGTGGTCATGTAGTTATTAAGCCTCCTAAGTCTGTTATATGTATAGTGGTTTGGGATAAAGATCAGAAAAACTATTATTAAATATGAATAAGGTGGCAAAATTTGACATATACTTTTTTGTTGTTTATGAGACCGAGTTTAAATACCATAGTATGATTTTTCCTACTTCAGAGTATTAGTTGGGGAAAGTCCACACTAGAAGTTTATTTGAAATGGTATCGTATCTGAAAGATATCCATGTTGTGTTTCTTATAAGAATGGACTTGCACGCTGGGCCAAGCAAATAGAAAATGGTGTGTATTTGATTAATGGACAAGTTAGAGCTGAAGATTGTGATCTACTAGAAGGACAGGTGAGTTAAAAGAAAATAAGTTAAAATCTTTCTTGTGAAATTATTTGTGTTGAGGAAAAATAAAAGATGATTTATCCTTAGTTCTTTAGTCCTTTCGTGTATGAAAACAATTTTCATCTACTTTTTATTTGTAAGGTCTTTTAATGTAAAGGGAAAACTGTAATTGGAAAATTAAAGAATTAAAAACTGGTAATAAATAAATAAAGTCAAGAGCAGATGTTTTTCTTAGAAATGATGGGAGATTATTTCTGAAATAATCAGAATCCTGCTCTGGTAGCAGTTTGAAGACTGTTTCACCATTTTAAAGAGGGGTCTTCATGGGCTTCTAAAATAGCTTTGATCTGAAGAGAAGCTTTGGTGATCTCTCCTTTCAGAACAGGAGTCAGCTAAGTGCATAAAAAACCAAATGGTAAATGTTTTGGACTTTGAGGGACCATTTGATCTCTGTCGTAACTATTCAGTTCTGATGTTATAGCATGAAAGCAGCCACAACAATATGTAAATGAATGATCATGGTGTGTTCCAATAAAACTTTATTTATAAAGACTGGTGGTAGTCTGGATTTGACCTATAGACCATAGTTTGCCAGTCCTAGCTTTAGAGGAATAAAAGTAGGCAATTAATAGTTTTTATCAGTATACATTGATTGCTGTAGAATACACGAAGCAATATGTCTATGTAAAAAGCTAAAATAAAACAAATAAGACTTTTTTCCTCTAAATTACTTAGTAGGTGTAGGATAGTTCCTAAATTGTCTTTTATGTTCCACTCTGATCTCAATAACCTAGTTTTTAACTTTTTTTTTTTTTTTTTCAGAAAAAATCTTCTAAAGGAAGTACTCAAGCAGTTAGTCAGTCTTTTGATGTCAGAGTATTAACCCAGTTGGTAAATATTTTAAAATCCTACTTATCTAAAATATGTCATTTCTAAAAATAACCTTAATGAAATTGTTTCTGTTAACTATGTTTATAATTAGAGAGTCAAAGAATTTTTGAGATATAAGATACTATGAAATATGTCCAGTTCTAGAAAAGTTACTCCCAAGAAACATTTTAATAAAACCTATTCAAGTCTTTTGGCCCAAAACCATTAAATATAAATACACACATGCATGCACACACACACGTGTGTATGCGTTAATGTTAATATTTTGGATTGTATGTCTTATGAGCATAGTAATACTTTTTTTTTTTTTATTCTCACCCGAGGACATTTTTGCATTTATCTTCAGATAGAGTGCGAGGGAGAAGGGGGAAGAGAGAGACAGATCGGGTGACTGCCACCCACTAGACCCCAACTGGAGCCTAGGACAAACTGCAACCGAGGTTCGTGCCCTTAGTGGGAACCGAACCCGGGACTCTACTGTCCACAGGCTGACGCTCTAACCGCTGAGCCAAACCGGCCAGGGCCACAGTTATAATTCTTAACAACTTAAAAGTAAAAGATGTGTACACTGATACATCAAGAATTGAAATCAACTTAATTTGAAGTTGATTTATACCTCCTTTCAGTTGATAAAAAGCACATGTTATTAACAATTTATATATATATATATTTTTTAATCCTCACCTGAGGATATTTTTCTAATTATCCTCAGAAAGAGTGGGAGGGAGGGAGAGGGAGAGAAAGAAACATCAGTGTGAGAGAGATGCATCCACTGGTTGCCTCCCACACCACCCCAGCCAGGGCAGGGATGAATCACAGCTGAGGTATATTCCCTTGACCAGAATCGAACCCGCAACTCGGTCTGCAGGCCGACGTTCTTATTGCTTAGCCAAACTGGCCAGGGAAGCAATATTTATATTTTTATATGGTTGTTTTAAGTTACATATCTTTTCAGAAATTGAAAGTTGGGTATCTTGAAGAATAAGAAGTTAGAGCCACTGATTATTCCTAAAAGCTTGCATGCTTTTGATTTTAATCCTGCTTGAAATTTTCCTTGAAAACAGACTGAGTATAAAGTATACTCATATTTTTTAAAAGTTTTAATTTCAGCCCCGGCCGGTTTGGCTCAGTGGTTAGAGCTTCGGCCCGTGGACTGGAGAGTCCCGGGTTCGGTTCCCGCTGAGGGCATGTACCTCCGTTGCAGTTTGCCCTGGCTCCGGTTGGGGTTGTGTGGGTGGCAGCCAGTTGATGTGTCAGTGATGTTGCTCTCTCTCTTCCCCGCCTCGCCCTCCCGCTCTATCTGAAAATAAATGCAAAAAATGTTCTTGGGCGAGGATTAAAAAAAAAAGTTTTAATTTCATATCATACTGCATATGTTGAAACAAATATTACTAGGACTTGTATATTTTTTAATATAGTAATAAAGACATGTAACTTAAAACAACCACATAAAAATATAAATATTGCTTCCCTGGACAGTTTGTCTCAGCAATAAGAACGTCGGCCTGCGGACCAATGAGTTGCGGGTTCAATTCTGGTCAAGGGAATGTACCTCAGTTGTGAATATAATAGACTTATGAGGATGTTTTAATTTTTTCTTGTCATTATCTGTGTTTAGCAATAGAGCATTACTAAATTGTTGTCATTGGATTTATGCCACTCAACACGAGTTCTTAATCTCTTCTCAATACTTGAAAAGTATGTTAATCTTTTGTTTTTCTCCTTTTGATTTTAGAAGTGTCCTTTAAAGCTATTCTTTTACCTAAATGCCTTTTACTGGTTATGCTTATGTGACCTCTTGACTTACCCAACAATTCAGTTAAAATTAATTAGTGATAGAATTGCAGTTGGGAGATGTGTAGAGTGGACATATGGAAAGAAGAGTGCAAGATGATATAATAAATTATTACAAGAGACAATTTATTGTTATGATATTTAATATTATATAGGATAGTATATTTTATCAATCATTCCATTGGTCAGCCAGCTGGAAACTAAAACAATCAACATATAGTGAGTAGTAAGTAAGGACTTAATGTCACTTTCCTCCCACTCAGCCTCCATCAAGTCTTGTTGATTCTTTCATTGCAGTGTTAAGCTTATCTTTTACTTTTGTTACAGTCAGTCCCACTCCCATTAGTCTTATAACATTTAATTTTTTTAAATGTTTTTTATTGATTTTAGAGAGAGGAGAAAGGAGAGAAAGAGAGAAAACGATGTGAGAGAGAAACATCCATTGGTTGCCTCCTGTACATACACACCGTGATAAGGGATTGGGCCTGCAATCTGGGTATTTGCCCTGACCACGAATCAAACTAGCATCCTTTAGGTTCATGGGACGGCACTCAGCCAACTGAGCCACACTGGCCAGGGCTCAAGTAACTTAAATGGTCTCTCTCCATCTATTCATTCTTGTCAAAAGTGATTATTTCTCTGAAGATCTTGATATCTTTTTTTTGTATATATATTTGGCATATCTTTTATATTTCTAATCTGTCGTGTACATAACTTCAGATTATCCTTTCTGAATCATAATTAACATTGATTCAGCTGTTCATTTACTTATTTGGTTTTTTTCTGGAAATATTCATTAAGTGTATATAAGGGTCAGATGCTGATTGTGTTGTTCTCCTTGCTTAAAATTCCTTAAGTGCTCTTTATTGACTAGTTAAAAAATCTAATCGAAGGCTCTAGCCTTAGCATGTCTTTTTATTATTTTCTAGGAAATTCTCTCTATGCCTTCAAAACCCTGTGTGTTTCCCGAGCCATGTGTCTGGCCAGTGCCATCTTTTCTCTATCATCCGGTCTGTTAGGATCATATCTGGACTGAGATCCAGCCCGAATGCTGCCACTTCTGTGGGGTTTCATTTGGTTACTGTAACCAGAGGGATCTTTCTTTTTCCAAAATATCATATAAATATCACAGAAGTTCCTCCGCTTATGAACAAGTTAGGGTCCCAAAGCCTTTTTGTAAGCTAGTTTGTTCCTAATTCCAAAGAAACCGAGAGGAGTTGACATTTGTAGAACTCAGATACATTTCCACCCAAAAGGAGTGAGCCAATCCTTATATCTTTTATAAACTTTTTCTTTATGAGTGTGTGTGTGTAGTCTTTTATGCATGGTCTCATTCATTTTGAAAAACAATGCTTTAATTTATACATATATAGCTTATATGTTATAAATGTGTTACATAATACAAAATATATATTAAAATTAGATATTAGGTATGTAAATAGGGCATTATTTTCCAAAATAGAATAGTTTCATCTACAGTAAGGTTCTGTGTAGTGGATGAGGGAAGCCCATTAATCCTCCTCCACCCCCACCTTGGGGATGTATCAATGGTCTCTACAAGTGTCACAGGAAACTTATTCCAGATATAGTATCAGCATTGTCACCTTGCTGCTTGGTTTATTGATAGACATTTTTTTAATGGACCTGGAACCTTTTGACTGTTTGGTCTGTGAAAATTTTTGACCAACAAGACCTTTTTTTACTCTGCTTAAGTTTAAATGCTTAAAACAAAACAAAATAAAAAAAAACTAGCCTTTGCCTGAATTACGTTAGGCATTGATTTTTTTTTTTTTTGGTGGTATGCGCCCCTAGCGGGAACCGAACCCCAGACTCTGGTTCGCAGGCTGACGCTCAACCGCTGAGCCAAACTGGCCAGGGTGCCATTGATTTTTTCTTTTTTTAATTTTTGGTGGTGTTTGTTTTGTTTCTTTCCTTTTTTTTTTTTTTTTTATCCTCACTTGAGGACATCTTTCCATTTTTTGTACAGATAGAGTGGGAGGGAGAGAGAGGAAGGGAGAGAGAGAAACATCGACATGAAGGGACACATCGAGTGGCTGCCACCCGCACGACCAACCAGGGCCGGGGACAAACTGCAACCGTAGTACGTGCCCCTAGCGGGAACCGAACCTGGGTCTCTCCGGACTGCAGGCCGACGCTCTAACCACTGAGCCAAACTGGCCAGGGCTCTTTTTTTATTTTAAGTTTATTTATTTATTTGAGAGAGAGAGAGAGAGATAGAAAACCATTGGTTTGTTGTTCAACTTATTTGTGCATTGATTGATTGATTGATTCTTGTATGTGCCCTGACCTGGGGTGGAACCTGCAACCTTGGCATATCAAGGTGATACTCTAACCGACTGAGCTACCTGGCCAGGCCTGTAACTGGTAACTCTCAATGCTCTTCAGTAGCTACATGTTAAGTTGTTTGATTTCTTCATCGGTTTTCCTCATCACTTCCTGATGTTTCTTGATTGCACACACACAGTTAGCACTGTTCACAAGTTGTGTCATTCATTTGTTTTTGTTTTTCAGAATTGACCTTATTGTTGAATGATTTATTCCAGGTGTACTTAGAACATATTTTTTCTGTCCATTTTTAGGGTTTAAAAAAAATCATTTTTATTTCCATTGTGATTTCTATGGGCCTCTCGTAGTATTGTCAGTATGCCAGCGCTCTCCTGTTCGGCACTTACTAAAATGATAAGGTTAAACATGTCTGAAACATCGGGAACCCAGCACGAACTAATGCTCTAGAATAAAGAAGAACGGGATAGTGAGATGACAGTAACTGCTTATAACCGTTGATATCTTTTCTGGTGGCAGGCAGAGCTGACTTGCTATTTTTTTGCTGTGGAGCATATAGCATTACTTCAGTCTATGAAAGTTATGAGTTAAAAACATATAAATAAATGAGTGTCTATATATTGCTTATAATTTTACCATATTTATCACAACCTCTTAAGTATTCTATTTATTTTTGTGCAAATCTTACATTGCATGCCATATCACTCCTATTAGATCATGTTTTCTTTATACATCTTTTCATTAGAATAATACTTATGTGAATAATCTGTTAATATATATTTTAGGGAGTATAATGATTGAATATTGGTACTTTGGATGATTATGTCAGTAAGAAAAAAATTTAGATGTAGCTGTATTGAATTTCAGACTATATTCAAAATACTTAGGCCCTGGCCAGTTTGGCCCAGCAGTTAGAGCGTCGGCCTGAGGTCCAGAGAGACCAGGGTTTGGTTCCCGCTAAGGGCATGTACCTCTGTTGCAGTTTGTCCCCGGCCCTGGTTGGTCATGCAGGTGGCAGCCACTCAATGTGTCCCTTTCACCTCGATGTTTCTCTCTCTCTCTTCCACTCTCTCCATCCCACTGTATCTGAACAAAAAATGGAAAAATGTCCTTGGGTGAGGATAAAAAAATATATATATATATATTTGGTAAATAATATATAACTTATACGGAGAAATATGAAGGCCTTTTATAATGTGTGGAGAATATTTTCAAACACTTGGTTCAGTCAAAAATTTCTTCTTTATGAAATGGCTTCTATAATCTTTACATATTTTATATAGTTATTAATGTAGTTTGTGTAGTTAATATCACATTGGCTATTACAACTTAAAGTGATATTTGTCTTTCAGCTTCTGAATTCAGACCACAGATCCACAGCCACCGTCCAGATCTGCAGCGGCTCCGTAAACCTCAAGGGCGCTGTGAAATGCAGAGCTTATATTCACAGCAGCAAACCCAAGGTTAAAGACGCTGTGCAGGTACAGAGGGAGTAGCTGGTACATGAGACACAAGAGCGTGCTAACAGTAACTATGCAAAAACCCTCAAGGTTTATTTTTTTCAATCTTGGATGTCATAATTATTAATTTAATTTAAACTAATAAAGTCACAATCAGTTAGGCGCTACAATTATACCTTGTAATTAGTCACAGGATTTTCATACGTAGAATGTCTATTTTATACCTTTTTTAAAATGATGATTATACAAGTTTATTAAGTGCTCCATAATTGTGACTTATTAGTACATTGGAAATCATTTCTTCTAAGGGAAATTGAACTTTTTAAATAATGAGGAAAGTATCCACTGGAAGAATTATTAGGTAATGTTCTATCATCTATATAATTTAGAAATTTTAAAAAGGATAACTGGCACTTTGTCATAGTTATACATTTCCTGGTTCAGAACACTGACATTATTTGTTTAGATGTAAAATTTCATTTATTTTATTTCAATTTATTATTTAGACTAGATAGGCAAATTTGCTTTTAAATGTTAGTGTTGCTAATAAGCATGTTAAGTTGACATTTAAAAAGGAATGGTGTATCAGTTATTTTAATATATAGAGAAACCAGTTATGTGAGGGTTTTTTGTTAATAAAATAATGCAAATCTAAAGTAACAGATGTTATTTCTTATTATAATTTGTTTTGTCTTACTGTTGCATAGGCAGTGAAGAGAGATATATTGAATACAGTTGCTGATCGTTGTGAAATACTATTTGAAGATCTGCTTTTGAATGAAATCCCAGAAAAAAAAGTTATGAGTATAAAATTAAGTGCTTTTTCTTTGCATATGTCCAATTGATAGAATGCCAAGATATAATAGATATGTCGTCTTTTATAACTTCCTGTATCTGTCTTTTATAATAGTATGCCAACTTTTACTTTTTTTATTGAATGAAAAATTCTCAGTTGCACCAAAAAAGTTTGTGAATACCTTATAATAGTAAATCTGTCGATATTTAACAGTTTCTGGAAAGATTTAAAAAAAGAATTCTGCGTGAATTTCTGCCAGACTAGAAAACTGTTAACATTTTAAAGCTAATTTTTAAAATTAATATATATTGGGTTTTTGAGGAATTTATTCACTATCAAAAAATACATTAGTGTTGAATATTATATAATATATTCGTTAATAAGTATTAATTTGTGATATATATGCAGTTGCTACCTTATTCTTAACACATTTCTTGTACACTGTTTTATATACTTATCTATTATTCTAACAGACGTATTAGTTTCAAAAAATATCTGGGTCTTGGTGTCATAACCTGTTATAAATAGTCTATCTTTTGTAAATCAAACAATCTATACTGTTTTGTAACTGGCATTAAAAATAATTATTTTATTAAAAAGCAAAGTTATATTGGGTATGCTTTTATTTATTTATTTATTTGTTTGTTTGTTTTTTTGTTTATTTTTGTTATCCTTACCCGAGGATATTTTTTAATTGGTCTTTAAATAGAATGGAAGGGAAGGAGAGAGAGAGAAATCAATGTGAGAGAGACACATAGATTGGTTATCTCCCGCTCGACCCCGACCAGGGCCAGGGATTGAACCTGCAACCCAGGTACGTGCCCTTGTCCGAAAATCAAATCCAAGACCCTTCAGTCCTTGGGCCAGTTCTGTAACTGCTGAGCCAAACCGTCCAGGGGTAATTTAACTTTTTGATTTAAAAATTATAAGAGCTTTTTCCATTTTAATGAATAATTAAAATTCATCACAACCAGTTCTTTAACATATTATTTTATAGCAGACATATTTATATCTTTTGGGCAAAGCTAGAATGAATGCAGTTTGAAATAATTAAGTTTTGCATGCCAGTTACACATACGCATTATAACCATCATTAATAATTTTGAACTTATCCTGTTTCAAGAAACTGTAGCGCCAAATAAAATAATATATTTTTAATATCAGTGTGTGGACAATTCACGTGCTACTCTACAAATTGCAGTAATATAATTTTACAGATAGGTGGCAGTCTGGTCAAAGAGTAAAATTATTCTTCCAGTTCTCATATGAAAACAAGATAATAAGCAGAATATGGCTGGAACACATAATTTAAGTCATTGCATTTTCCCTGACAGACATCCTCCTCTTTTGATTGTAGTTATATAAAACTACCACTAGTATCTTGGCAAGGAAATAGGTTACTATTAAAGTGAGCCCTGCTTTTCTACTCGGTTTGTATATTGGTAGCTTTTAAATCATATCCATTGCTGAAAGAGGCCATTCGTTACATAAAATCTTGATCTTTGTTGATAGTTCATTAGAATCATGGTGTAGAACCAAAGAATACTTGTGTTTATATGGACCAGTGATGATGTTAGTTAGATTGGGGGAAATACATTTTACTTTGTGAGTATTCAAGAAGAGTGAAACATAGGTCTTCATTTTTTATTTAGATCCAGATTATTTTTTTTCCTAAAAATTATTTAATACTATTTGTGACAATAGGTAGCACTAGTTGTCGCCCCAGAAATATTAATTCTAGTTTAGAGCATTTAGTGTGTCTATTTATTAGATATTCATTAAGCATTTGCTCTGTTTAAGGCAGTGTGATAGATACAAATCAATGACCAGATTCCTCACCTCAAGATATAATCTGATTTGAAAGATAGAATGTGTATGCATTATTAATTACGCAGAACATATAATAAAGTCCCAAGAGTAACTAAGAACTTAGTCAAGATTAATGATCAGAATAATAAATATTAGTAATAAGAATGAGGCAAAGGGAAGATGAAAAGAACACAAGATGGAGTTGGTAGTGAGGTTAGTATATAAAACATATCCAAATGTCATACACATGCTTGATACGGGGGCTACTAGCATCTCATAGATGATGTGAGTGGTGAGATTATTTTGTACATACATGTATAAAAATGCATGTATCATGTTCTGTCCACTTGATGTAGATGAGCCACTAATTTGGCTCCAAACTTGCATGAAGAGGGGAAAACTGCTTATAAAATTTAGTCCTTGTAAAGTTAAACAAGAAAAATAACAATTCCTGAGACCAGGGACAAAACTCCTGGGTATTCTTTCATGGGACTGTGGATAATACAAGAATATATAATCAACAACATTCTCATATTGAAAGCAGTGGTAAGTTAATGTTTCATCAGAGTGTCATTTAGGTCCCCTGCAGAGGCCAGGGGTATTGAGGGACAGCAGGTTTCAGTAACAGCAATTTTGTGCCAGGTCAATTAAAAAATGAAAATAACTTTTAGGGTTTATTTCTATTGGTGTATGATGCTTTCATAGACATATAAAGTACCTATCACTGATACCAGTGACAGACCTATCTAAATATTGATAATGTTTCTTCTTTTAGATTCTGAAAAAGAGTTTCACATCCTTCCTCACCGAGTTTTTGTCCCCATTCCGGGATCCACAGTAATGTTATGTGATTATAAATTTGGCGATGAGTCAGCTGAAGAAATCAGAGACCATTTTATAGAGATGTTAGATCATAGGATTCAAACAGAAGATTTGGAAATTGCAGAGGAAATAAACACAGGTAATTCTATGATGTTATTTAAGAACCTGATTAGACTACTGCTAAGATTACCTATGAGACATCTAGTTTAAATATCACGTCTTTAGATTTCCTCAAAGCTGGTTCTGTTTTATACTTCCGAGGCACTTAAAAATGTATCTAGTGTCCACATATATAAACATGTGGTCAGTGTTTTCCTGGAAAATTGTCCTAGCATTCAGGTTTTCCTAAGCCTAGCAAGTAGACCTTCATTAAACAAGTACAGCCTTAAGTAGGTGGAAATATGTGGTTTTAAGGTATTATTTTGATTAATTATTTGGTTAAACATCATGTCACAAAGTTTTAAAAAATACTTTATTAAATGTCTTCTCCACACTATTTGCATTTATTTTCCTACCACCTTTATATAATCGGGATACTAAGCTAAAATAGGCAGGTCCAAAGATTAGATCAGAGTTTTTGTAGAGTGTAGATTTCCATACTATCGTAACTGTGACACGTTTTCTTCCCCTCGCTGCCGTTTCCACATTTGACCTTACCTTTTGGAAAGCTGTTTTTTGTTTTGCTTTGCTTTCCTTCATTTTTATTTTTGTTTTTGTTTCTAGTGAGAGCAGACTATGAAGACATGTCTATAAATAAATGTGAACATACATGTATGACAGACTTTCTGAAACGTTTAAAAATATGTGATAACTAATTATTTGCAAATATCAATGAATATTGAGTACATAGTCATTTATCAATCATGAAATTTCTGATATCATAGTAGAAAGTCTTTAGGTTACTTTTGAATATGGACATTTATGAAATTGAAATATAGCAACTTTTACATCCTTTTTCTAATTCTGATTTCTTAGTTGTTTATCTGTTTCTTAACTAATTCGCGCCCCTCACAAAAGTAGAGTGTTTGATTCAAAGTGCTCGTATTAATATGGTAAGTCAAGTAAATGTTTGTTTGGTGAATTCCGTGTCTGTCAGTGAAGTCTCAGGTTAGTTGGAGACCACCTGGTCTGTTGTTTAACTGCTCCAGGCTAGTATTCATCATGATGTGCAGTTTGTTTTAAAGGGGGGAGAAACTCACACTCCAGATCGTTCAGGACCTGATGTTATAGCAGCAGCTGTGTTTCAGTTGTTTGAAACTAAGATTTTTAAAGGTATAGCTCTAGCATACTGTATTTCCTAAATTGATAGAGATTTTGAAAGTAAACTGGTTAAAAAAAAACGTTTGTTACTTTTCAAAATATGTTTTCCCATGTTAGTGACTATGATATCTCTGCAAACCAAACTTAGAATCATGAGGGTGGAGATATTATTTTGTTTACTGCTTTCACTAATGCCTACCAATAATTCTTGACCCATTCTATTGTGGATAATCAAAGTGAATTTCATGTGTGATCATTAGAGTCGGCCTGGTCCCCCCTCCGTCTGATGATACTGACATCAGTTTTCCCTGCACATGGGTGTTTAGACTATTCTTCCTCACTCTGGATGCCAGTTTGTCTTCCTGTGATCTGTACTTTGTTCAGTAACATGGAGCAATAAAATTTGAGGGTAACTGTCATGTTCTAAATATTTTAAAGCCAGATACTCCCATATACCTTTAACTACTCTCTCTCTCTCTCTCTCTCTCTCTCTCCCCCTCTCTCCTTTTAACTATTCTCTTTATTATAGTTTTCAGGCCTCATTTTATCTTGCCACTTTGGTTGCCTTCCTCCAGATTAGGAATTTTTAACCTGTGGTACCCTTGGAGTCATAGATGGCTTTTGGGAGATCCATAAATCACTTGAAAGTAAATGTATAATTTTTCTGGGGAGGAGATCTATAGCTTTCAAAGGGTTAGTGATTTAAAACTGACTTCTTTAAATATACTCTGGTTTGCGGTTTTCGAAATATATTACCCTGAATTGAACCTGATACTCTAATAACAATATTAGCTATTTATATAGAACAAATAATTAAGACTTATTTTTAGCCTCAAGATAATATACTTCTTGTGTATTATCAAATTTAAATGTTATTCTCTGGTGGATTATTTTTATTATGTATATATATATATAGTAAAATATCCTGTTTCTCGGCTTTCCTTCAGTAAGCTTTAGCATCAGTATTATTTATGCCATGCTAAATATTAGCATTAACTGGTAACTATGAACTATTTTAAAATAATTTTTAAGCCCTGGCCAGTTTGGCTCAGCGGTTGGAGCGTCGGCCTGTGGTATAGAGAGACCCGGGTTCGGTTCCCGCTAAGGGCATGTACCTCGGTTGCAGTTTGTCCCCGGCCCTGGTTGGTCGTGCGGGTGGCAGCCACTCGATGTGTCCCTTCACATCGATGTTTCTCTCTCTCTCTCCCTCCCGCTCTATCTGAACAAAAAATGGAAAAATGTCCTCGGGTGAGGATAAAAAAAAAAAATAATAATAATAATAATTTTTAAAATCTTAGATTATATATAATATTAATCCATTTGTCTTTTTTGTGTTTTTATTTTAATAAGCTTTTAATATGAGCACTTAGCTGTATGTTTTGCACTGTATTTTACAATAATTTCCTGTCTATATTTATGCTGACAGTCAGGTACAGAAATGGATTAACTGAGTAGGGAAGTTTAATATTACAAGGACAAAGGAAACAGAAGAGCAATTTGGAAAGTTTAGGTGTGTATGCTTATGTACAGGGTGGCACAAAAGGTTTATAGTTCTGAGTATGTGAAACACAGTTTATTCTTGCATTATTATTTATTATTGTATTATTTTCATCCGAACAACCGTAAAGCTACTTTTGCCCCACCCTGTATATGCTGTATCAAACTAGTTTCTAGATGGTGTTATATATTTTTCTAGTATTGTATAATGTATTGAAAATACTTCTTCAGTACAGTAGATATGAATTGTTTAGGACTCTGTCCTGTTTATTAAACTTAAATAAATTTCAACTGAGTGATTGGTTACTATTTATTGATTGCCTATTATGCATTAGACATTAGAGTTCTAGAGATCAGATATATAGTTCTGACTCTCAAGAAGCTTATAATATAGTGGGAAATACAGGGAAATGGATTATTCCAGAACAAGATGATTCATTCTATAGTAGGGGAGTGAACAGAAAATTATCAGAACATGTATTTAGCACAGGCACTGTACCTGTGAGCCAGGGATTCACAGAAGTCTTCTCAGAGCAGGTAACATGAGCTCATTGTGAAGGATGAATACAGTAAAAGTAACTCCAGGCTTTTTAGGAAATAAACACTGGCATCAGTGGTACTGTGGCCAAGAATAGGACTTTTCTAGAGTTGTATTAGTTTTGCTTCATCAAATAAATGATTTAGTAATTAATGTATTTTTTTATTTTTCTTTATTGATTTTTAGAGAGAGAGGAAGGGAGAGGGAGAGATAGAAACATTAATTGATTGGCTGCCTCCTGCATGCCCCCACTGAGGATTTGGCCTATAACTTGGGCACGTGCCCTGACCAGGAAGCAAACCGGCAACCTCCTGGTGCATGGGTTGATGCTCAGCCACTGAGCCACACTGGCCGGGCAGTAATTAATGTATTTTTAATAATGAAATGACACATTCCCAAATTATGAAATAAGGTGAAAACATAAATGTTTTAATAGAAAAATTAAATACTTTTGCATAAACATCTTTACTGGTTTAGAATTAGATTAATTTATTCATTCACTTTTACTCAAAAATATTAGGTGCATAGTTTTACCAAGATAGTATTTTAGCTGAGTCCCAGTCTCCCACTTACAACCATATAACCTTAAACAGGTCCCCTCTGAACCCCAGATTCTCTTGTTGATATGAGAATTTAGTAACAATGTTAGGGAAAATGCTTTCTCAACAGAAAAAGATACATAAAGGCAGCATGATATTAACTAGCATTATTGTAAGGCTTTAAAGTCTCATGAACTATAATGAAAAACATTAATATTAAAGTATGAAAGTAATGTTTTATGGTGTGCATAGATTTTCCTAAATATTTTAAATTAGTCTTTTTATATAAAATAAACCATAAAAAGAGTTCAAATATTTAAATTCGAAAATTGAAGTCAATTACTATAGTTAGCATTAAACTTATTATAAATATCTGGCTTTATTTTCTAAGTATTCAGTGTTATTATTTGCTTGATTATTATTTAATTATTTCTATTATATAATATAGTTGCCAAGTAGTTGCTATGTTTAAAATACATATTTGTCAAGTAAATATCTTAAAATAACATACTTTTAAATGACTTAAGGGATGAAGAACAATTTGTATGTCAAAATGACTCACTTAAGGTGAGGGATAACTATGGCTTTAAATTTTCTTAAATGCATTAGTCATCTCCTAGTAGATATTAAAACTTAGTAATTCATATGTATATTATCCACAGCATCAGCTAAAATTTTGGAGACACACCTTTAAAGTCTGATGAAACTCATTTTACAAATTCCATCTTGATATCTGAACTGAAATTAATTTTTGCTGTTTGGTTATTAAAGAAAAAGTAATACTGAAAGTATATTTTTATCGCTAAATCACTGATTGCAACCTCATTAATCCAGGATTCAGAGATGAGGAAGGAAGATAACTAACCAAAGGATTTCGAGTCCTAACATTTTATTTTAAGCTTCTAAATAGTCCTGCCCACCTATCAATGGCTTGGAATGAAATGCAACATGTTGACAATTTAGCATGTATTCATAATGGCCCTTGTTTCCTCTTTTGTCAACAGTTGCTCAAGAAAGTTGTTTTCTTACATACTTTGTCCAGAGTTAAATTACATGGTTTTAAGGAATGGTTAAAGTCTAATTTCTTACTGAATCATATGTCACTTGCATTTGAATTTCAGATAGCATATTAAAGTAATGGTAAAATACAATAGTGTCTGAGATTTGACCTAAAAGCCTACAAGCCCACACCAAAAGTAAACACAAATAAATTATTATGACAAGGCCTTATTCATTCTTGAAAAATGCTCTGCTTCAGTAAAATTATCTTGAATTTGTATCAAATCACAGGATTCTGACACATTTAAAAATGGAAATAGCAGAGCAATGGAATGTCTTTTTTTTTTTTTTTTTTATCCTCACCAGAGGATATTTTTCCGTTTTTTGTACAGATAGAGTGGGAGGGAGAGGGAGGAAGGGAGAGGGAGAGAGAGAGAAACATCGATGTGAAGGGACACATCGAGTGGCTGCCACCCGCACGACCAACCAGGGCCGGGGACAAACTGCAACCGAAGTACGTGCCCTTAGCGGGAACCGAACCCGGGTCTCTCCGGACCGCAGGCCGACGCTCTAACCGCTGAGCCAAACTGGCCAGGGCGGAATGTCTTTTTTTTATAGAAGTAAATTATTTGTGCAGAAGACTTGACCTACTAGAACATGATCTTCACATATAACAATTAATATTGAATGTATAATATATCATGACAAATAAAACCATTTTTGTGCTCTTTATATACAAGTGCTCTAGTAAAAAAAAAAAAAAAAAAAAACTTCTCGAGCAAATAGGTATAATTTATGCTTTATCCAACATTTTTGTTTATTTGTTACCTGACATAAGGATATAGTAGCCCAAAGAAAAAGGTTTTTTTGTTATTGTTAATCCTCACCCAAGTATATTTTTCCATTGATTTTTAGATAGAGTGGAAGAGAGAGAGAGAGAGAGAGGGCGAGCGAGCGCGCAACATCGATGTAAGAGAGGCACACTGTTGGTTGCCTCCCACATTACTGGGGATTGAACCCGAAATCCAGATACAAGCCCTAGACCAGGAATCGAACCCACGACCCTTCAGTTCACAGGCTTATGCTCTTAACCTCTGAGCCAAACTGGCCAGGGTGAAAAAGTTTTTATCAGTGATATTTGCTGATAGAAAAGCCAAAGCTTATGTGTGTGTATGTGTTTTAACATGAATAAAATTGTACTATTCATTCAATTTCTTTTAATTGAATTTATTGGATGACACTGGTCAACAAACTTATATAGGTTTCAAGTGCACAATTCTGTGACTAATCATCTGTACCCTGTATCATGTGTTCAACACCCCAAGTCAAGTCTCCGTCCATCACCATTTATCTCCCCTATACCCTCCTCTACCTCCCTTCACCCTGCTTCCCGTTCAGTGTTTTGACCTATAGATAAAATTAGGGGGAATTTGAAGCCGGTAGGCTAATGCAGCCTAGAACTAAGGTATTATGCCCTGAGACAACAAGAAGCTGTAGAAATACAGGAGACTGAATAGTTCTAGAGACCGTCCATGATAAGAATTCGTTTGCCTTTGTGACTAATTTGATATTGTAGTAGGAAAAAAGAAAAATATTTTATGTATGTTTGTTTAAAGTACTTTAGCCATATGCTAAGAGGATATAAAAAAGAATGGGAGTTCCCTTGATTCTAATGAGGTAATTACCAAGGAATATTTTTTTAAATAACAGTAATCTTTTCTTCATGGGAAATTGATGAAAAGTAGGCATCTTTTTTTCTTTTAATCCATTTTGGTACCATAGGCATCTGTTTCAGTAAGTTTATGTGTCATCTTTGTGAGCCTGTGCTAGTATATTGGGATAAACAGGTGTTTATAAGGACTTTTGAAATCCATGCGATAGGCTATTTTACTTTGAATTTAAACCGTAGTATTTACTATCTCTCCTATGTCTCTTCTCTTCTTTGTAAATAAAAGGATCAACATGAAGTAGTGCTTTTCCAGCACAGCTCCCTAGATCCCCCAGAATGTCCTCCCTGCCACCCCCGAGAGGACGGGCCGCTCCGGGACCCTCCCTCCCTACTTGGCAGTCACCCTTCCTTCACCTGTTGTACATGGGGTTTTCTGTAGCTCCACTGGTCTGTGATCTCTAAGAGTGCTTTCAGTTCAAACACTCGGTGTTAAATAAATTCAAGGAGGCGGACCTTCAAAAATTATTGTCAGCATAATGAAATAGAAAGAAAACTTGTATCTGAATCCTTAGTCTGCTGCCCTTTACCCTCAAATATGCACTAACTTCCCAGGTTTTATATTCATTCCATCTGTAAATGAGATAATATGCTTGCCTTCCTTAACACTGAGTTTTTTAAAGGTCAAATTTATGATCATATTTTGCTTGTATATTTCAAATTTCAGATTAGATCAAGAGTCAGAAAACTTTTCTATATGGAGCCAAATAGTTACTATTTTACAGGCTTCGGGGAACACATACGGTCTGGCTCATGCAGTGCAAGCTTGGCCCATGGCTGCGGTTTGCTGATCCCATCTTTATTAATACCTAATTATCTGAAATTTTTAATTGCCAAAACCATAATAGGATTAATTATTATTATCCTCTTGCAGCTTTTATGAGTTCCTCTATGAATACTGAACCTTCATTGGACAACACAGATGATGAACAACCAAAAGAACCAATTAAAACTACAGTAGTATTGAAAATTCAGCAAAACATAGGTATTTTATTTATTTTACAATATTGAAAAGATGGTATTTTAGATTTGAGTTTTCTTGTTGCTTTAAAATTACTGTATTGTATTTTACTTAAAAGTGCTAGATTAAGCCAGTATTTATTGAGTATTGTGGAAAGTGCTAGGCCCTGGAGATAGATTTACAAGTGATGCATTATCTTAAGTGCCCTCAAATATTACACTTCCTATTCATCTTTTTGGTGTTTTTAGATTTTGGGAATCAATTAGTATTGTAGGGCCAGTATTTTCAAACTGGTGTTCCCAGAATTGCTATTGTAGATTTTGATATCTGTTCTATGAAAAAACAGTCAAATTTGAGTCTGAAAATTTATAATACACTTCAGTATTTTAAAGGCTCCATGATGGTGTGGCAGTCACTTTTACATTTTTCAGACCTACTGATCAAAGATCATGTACACTATTGTTTCATGGAAAGTATTAAGGTCTTTGGGAGCCAGAAGTTTTAGTTGTTTTTCTTGTCACTTACTTATTAGATAAACTTAAATTAATTATGTAAATTATTTGTGTGTGTGTGTTTCTGGGATTCTCTGGTTCATTTTTTTTTTTATCCTCACCTGAGGACATTTTTCCATTTTTTGTTCAGATAGAGTGGGAGGGAGAGAGAGGAAGAGAGAGAGAGAGAGAGAGAGAGAGAGAGAGAGAGAGAGAGAGAGAGAGAGAAACATCGATGTGAAAGGGGTGCATCGAGTGGCTGCCTCCCGCATGACCCTACCAGGGCCGGGGACAAGCTGCAACCGAGATATGTGCCCTTAGCGGGAACCTAACGTGGGTCTCAGGACCGCAGGCCGACGCTCTAACCACTGAGCCAAACCGGCCAGGGCTCTGGTTCATTTTATTTTGTTTTGCTTTTACTTAATAATCAGGTGAAAAATGAGTTGCCAACATAGAGTTACTAATTCTTAGATTTCGGAAGGGTGGAATCTGAGCTTCTGTAGTTTTCAATAGCTACGCAAATGAGTTTGCATTTTAATGATTGAGAACCACTGCACATTGGAGCTGTTCTTTGGTGTAAGCCAAGTAGCATGAGACAGCTGGAACGTCAGTATAAATCTATAGGACCCTTGAAAGGTATGGGTTAGTTTTTCTCTTAGATATGTGTGAGTGCACACATGTGTAAGAAAGACTACTTTTTGTTATTTAAGGTTTGGTGAAGGTGGTGAAATATGTGATTACCAGTCTAATCTTTGCAGTCTTTTTTTTTTTTCTTCCAACTTATTGCTATGTTTTCCTCTAAGATTTTGTCAGCTTTTAGGATGTGTTGACATGTGTGGGAATATGTATTTGTATTTGTGTGTGTGTTGTTGTTTAGTCCCATCAGTTACCTACGTTTAGGCTGGAATCCCTTAAGCCTTTCTTTTGCTCATTCTCTTTCCACTTGTTTTGTGTTTGTTTACTTTCAGGTATGATTACAGCATTTGCAGTTGCAGCCCTTGCTGCGGGTATCTCCTTTCACTACTTCAGTGACTAGGGTGAGGCCAGAGACCTTCCTGATCATCCAGAGCACCCCGACCAACAATTATGAATAATAGATGCAAACACGCCACCTGCATTTAAGACAATAGCATCTGGATCTGCTGCCAGACGCCTGTTAGGTGTGTTTCTGACAAAAACAAAATCACCAGCTGCCTTGTTTAGCCCTGCTTCTGTTGGCTCAGGCTTCCAAAAATAAACGTATTTATCTAGGTGGAAGCTGCATGTAACAAATCTTTATTATCTATTTTTTTAAATGTTCAAAATGATGGTTTATTTTCACAGATTTTAGTCCTTTTGATCTTGATCATATATTCATCAGGACATTAAAAATTTGAATAGTCAGGGTTGGCTGAATATCTTAGTGATAGAACAAAGAAGAAATTTCTACAAAGTGGGGCAACAATCTATTGGGTAAGTCGATACTGTAGGACCTTTCTAATGTATGCCCAGTATACATTTCAAAATACTGATCAAGTTCTGATCAAGGGGTAGGAAACCTTTCCATATTTGAATCAGTGAAGAGTGCCATAAATCATACTTTCTCTTATTTATATATCAAATTGTTTTACTATATTAAATAAGAGTTTTTCTTCCAGCAGTACATTAGACTAGGTACTGCAAGACACCTATATCCTGAATAAAAAGTTACCTTTGAATGTATTAATAGGCTAAAGAAAGAGGAGGTTTCCAAGAATCATACCTTTATTTTTCTTTCCCTAAAAAAATGAACACATTTTGAGTTGCAAATCATGAATACTGTGTTAAGTGTACACGTGGACTGGTGCTGTCAGATGGCAGAGACCTTACACAGTTTGCCTCAGACCGGAAACGAGGGGATTAGATTAATCTGAATCTGAGATGCTACCCTAGCCAGGACAGCTGCGGTGGCCCCGTTTGTAGTACCCTCTAACTCCTGGCAGCAACAGGTATAGGCCCGAGATTCTCATAGATTAAGGTGAAGCGATGTTATTTCATGACTAGACATCACCAGGCACACGTTGAAACTAGCTAGCATGAGAAAGTACAGAAAAGTATAGAAAAAAACAACTTTGGATTAAATTCTCCCAGGTCTCGTTACCAACATACTTGAAAGACAGAATCACAGGTAGATATGCAAAATAAAACAAACGGAACTGCTAGAAATGAGAAATATTACTTGAAATAAAAAACAAAAAACACCCTTTGACACGTTGAATATCATAGTAGTCTCAGCTAAAAAGACAGTGAATAAATTGGAAGCTACTATATCTAAAGACATGACACTATATGTAGTAGGATAAATGAGCTGCTGGAAGATACAAATACTAAGAGATATGGAGGGAAGAATTATGGAGACCAGAAGTCCCAGGGAGAGAGAATAGAGGCTGGCGGAGTGGCAATATTTGAAGAAAGAACAGTTCTCCACATTTATTGGAAAAATGTGAATTCATCAATTCAGGATGCACACTATATCCTAAGCATATATAGATAAAATTTATGCCTAAACCCAGTATAATGTAACTGCAAGATACCAAACACAAGATTTTCAAAGCAATCAGAGGAGGAAAAAGATCATGCAGGTGAGACAAATAGCAGGCTTCTTAATGGCAACGTACCCAAAAGATGGTAAAATAACGCCTTCAAAATTCTGAGACAAACTAAACTTAGAACATGTACCAAGCAAGACTGAAAGAAAGACATAGATGAAAAACAGATTTTACCATCAACAGGCCTCTATTAAAGAGGCTGCAAAAGTATGATCTTCAGGAGGAAATGGATTCTAAAAGGATGATCTGAAATCGAAGAACTAGTGAGCAAATAAAATGGTAAACATATGTAAATCAGGTGTTGTTTATAGAAAACAATTGTAATGAAAGAAGTCTTTGTAAGAATAAACAAATGTAAAACTAAATAAACTTTATGCAATATTAATGTGTGCTTTTAAAATAGGATATAATTGAAAAACTGGACCATGGCTTTTTTTTTTTTTTAATCCTCACACAAGGACATTTTTCCATCTTTATTCAGATAGAGTGGGAAGAGGAGAGAGAGAGAGAGAAACATGGATGTGAGAGGGACACATCGACTGGTTGCTTCCCACATTACCCCAACCAGGGCCAGGGACGAACTGCAACCAAGGTGCGTGCCCTTGACTGGAATTGAACCCGCAACTCATCAATCTGTGGGCCAACACTCTATCCTCTGAGCCAAACCTGCCAGGGCTGTGATTAGAATTAAAGTGTTCTGAGGTGCTTTTGTTCAGAAAATAGGTAAGATATTGTTTTACTTTAAAATTATGTGAAATATGTATAATCAAATTTCAAGTATAACTGCTAAAGAATAGATACGGGATGAATCATTCTGGAGAAAAATCAGTTTAAAATATGAAATAGGAAGTTAATTCAGTACTAAAAAGGGGGAAAAAATTACAGATGGGAGGAGGGACAAAAATAGATAATAGTAAGAAGTTAAATAATTAAATAGGAAGAGACTAAATTAACCAATAGGTTAATTTTTTAAAATTCTGCTATAGGCTGGATAAAAAAATAAAAGTAGGCAAATAGCAAAAAAAAAAAAAAAAAACATATATATACATATAGTTAGATAGATATATCTCTCTATAGCTTTTGTGATGTTAAATCCCAGACTTTATGATGTATTAAAGGTGGAGAAGGCTACTAAAGAATGGTAAAAGGACCAATTCACTAGGAATATATAACAATTTTAAATTTGTATATCCTTTATAAAATGACCTTAAAATATATGCACAATGGGTCTAAATCAACAAATTGAACGTAGTGGGAGGTTTCAGCAGCTCTCAATTATTGATAAATCAAGCAGACTAAAAAAATTAGTATAGATTTGAATAATTTAACAATATTGATTCAATGAACGTATTTAGAATAATCAACAGTTAGAGAATTTTCTTCTTAATCATTGTATATTAGTAAAAGCTGACCAAGCACTAGGCATGAAGTGTCAGTAAATTTCAAAAAATTATTAAATGGACAATCAGAGGTAAGTAGAGTTTAGTAATAAAGGTTAATTCTTAAAAATTATACATTTACAAGTTTAATAAAACTTCATAGATGAAAGAAGAAAACATACCTAGACTCTAGTGATAAGTACTACATTTGGACAGTTGGGCAATGTGATCAGCACTTTCAGTACATGGTTGTACTTAAGGGGAAAGGTGAAGTGTGTAACTTAGGAAAAAAATAAAATAAAAAAGTGTAGGAGCAAGGATGTACAGGCAATGGAAGAACTGAATGAATTAGAAAACAGAATCACAATGCCAAACTTGTTTTCATGACAAAATAAAAGTGACAATTTGCACAAAAAGAAAAGAAGACACAGCATAATGATTGAAAAAAGGGTTCTAAATTATAGATACAGTAAAGATGAAAATAATAAAAGACTACCAGGAGCATCTTAATACGCTTGAAAACTTGGACAAAATAGACCATGGTCTAGATTTCTTAAAATTGGCTAAAGAAAAAATTACAAGCTAGATAGATTTGTTCAATAGTTTGAGTAGTGAACAATAATTGAAAAACATTTTTTGACAAAGAACATCTAGCTCACCTTTACAGATGTTTTACTCCTCTTTCAAGGACCATTTTATTTCAACATTTTATGCAAACTCTTCCAAAGAATAGATAAGGGAATACTCTTTAGCTCATTTTATGAGGCCAGTATAACTTTTATTGTACTGGAATCAGACACATAAAGTCGAAAAGAAAATTACAGACTAATAGCACTTACGCACAGAGATGTTAAAGCCAAAATACTATTAATGAATTTAGTATTCTATAAAAAAAAGGATAATATGTAATGAATAAATTGTATATGTAAAAAAATCAGGGACACAACAAGAATACTCGCTATCACCACTTCTATCCATCATTGTCCTGAGCAAAAGACAAACCAGGTATTTTCAGAGGATATAATTGAACACATGAAAAGATGTTTAATCTCATAAGTGATTGAGACCACAATGAATACCACTTTATATCTAATAGATAGAAAATTAAGAAATATGATACTACCAATGAGGAAGATGTGCATCAAGAAGACATCTGCAGGTGGGGTTGTGAACTGATACACTGGAAAGCAATTTGGCATCATCTTGTAAGGTTAAGCGTTCACATACTCTCATACCGAAGTATTCTACCTCTGTACCCTAGAGAAACTCGTGCATATGTGCGCAGGAGTACACATGTGAGAATGTTCAAGGCAGCCCTGTTTGTAACCACCCAAATGTCCACTGACAAGAGAATAAAAAAAGAAATTGTTGGTTTTCTATTCAAAGTCTGATGATTACTGGCTGTGTGACCTTGGGCAAGTTGCTTAACTCCTCTGTGTCTGTTTCTCATCTGTAAAATGGAGATGATAATAGTATTTATGTCATAGGATTGAGCATTAAACTACTTTGTATATGTAAGCACCTAGAGTAGTGCCTGGTGTGCAGCAAGCATTCAATAAACGTGGGCAATTATCAAAAAAATTACGGGTTTTGTAATTTTATTTAGCAGGAAGAATTGCCTGAAAAATAAAATGATAATTAAAACAAGTCTCAGAAGCCTACCTGCAGTGTGGGACAAATTTTTATAAAGCTGAAATACAAGCATATTTAAACTGTGCTAAATATGTGTACAGGAATACATATATTTGTGGTAAAACTTTTAATGTGAAAAGTGATATAGCATAAATTCAGGATTGTGTGTATAACTTCAGGGTGAGAGATGACAGGAAGACAAGAGGGAAAGAGGAATAGATGAAACAACACTGGTGATGTTTTAGTTCTTGAGTTCAAATGGGTTTCTTGGTGTTGATTTTATTTACTTAATGACATTAACGTATGTGTTATTTTGGTTGTCTGTTACTAACCATTCCCAAACTTAATTGCTCGAAACCACAACCATTTATTTTTTTCTCATAATTCTGACTTGGCAGGTATCAATTTGGTGGTTCTCCACGTGATGTTGCCTAGAGCCACAGATTTCTGGGAGCTTGACTGAGTTTGAAACATCGGAGATAGCTTATTCATGTGGTTGGCAGTTGATGCTGGCTGTCAGCCGGGAACTCAGCTGACACCTCAGTTCTTCTCCTTGTTACTTTGGGGTCTTCTTATCATGATGCCTGGGATCCAAGAAGTAGCATCCCAAGTATGAGCATTCCAAGAAGAGATACACAGAGACTCTGTGCTTTTGAGACCCTGGTCTGAAAGTCTCAGAACATTTCCTCTACATTGTTTTTGGTCAAAGTAACCTACAGGACCAGCATAGTTAAAAGGGGAGGGGGGAAAGGACCTTTACCTCTCAGTGAGCATACAGATACAAGAAGAAAAGGGGTTGATGGGAGCCACATTTGGAGATTAGTTAATGTACTCTCTGGTCATAACAATTCACATTCCCAACATTTGGAAAATGCACTCACCGTCTCCCCAAACACCTTAAAATCTCAGGTGTATCCAGTTCAGGTTCAAGGCCTATAATCTCTTCATCTAATCAGTTTCAGGTACATATAAGCCATCTTTGCTGCAGTTACTCTCAAGCTTTAGATACATGAACTAAAGAAAGATTTGCTTCCCCATACTCATCTGGCATAAAATGACAAGAGAGGCAATAGACACTCTTATTCAAAAAGAGGGGAAATGAGCCCTGGCCGGTTTGGCTCAGCGGTTAGAGCGTCGGCCTGCGGTCCAGAGAGACCCGGGTTCGGTTCCCGCTAGGGGCGCGTGCCTTGGTTGCAGTTTGTCCCCGGCCCTGGTCGGTCGTGCGGGTGGCAGCCACTCGATGTGTTCCTTTCACATAGATGTTTCTCTCTCTCTCTCTCTGTTCCTCTCTCTCCCTCCCACTCTACCTGAACAAAAAATGAAAAGGTGTCCTCGGGTGAGGATAAAAAAAAAAAAAAAAAAAGAGGGGAAATGAGAGGCGCAAGGCAGTGAAGTGTCCACAGCGATTCTGAGCTCCAGGTGGGCGCGTCTCTAATTCACCATGATTCGAGAAGCAGAGAATGTACAATGGTTAGGGCCTAATTCTCCCCGAGAGTGGTTCTGCCCTAGGCTCTTCCTTACGAGACTGTGACTCTGCCGCGAGTCATCCTTTTCCATCTTTGGTTTGAAGTTGAGTAGCTTTCTCAACCTGCTTCCTAATTTTTGAAGGTTGCAGGCCCAGAAAGCCCTTTTTATTTTGAGCTGTTTCTTCCTTGTAGACTGGACTTATGGAATTCTTTTAAAGATTCTGTGTTTTTTCAGTAATGCAGATTATAATGCCCTCCAGTTAGACAAGAGGCACACCCACAACTCTGTTCAAGACAGGCTGCTTTCTCTACTTTGAGCTGAGGGGATGCTAAAGAAGAATACCCTTAAGAATCTTACATGCTCACTATCCAGCTAAGTAGACCGCAATGAGTGCTCATACGTCTTTCTGTCTAGCTAAGAGGTGTTTGAGGCACTTAAAAAATTTTCTGAAGTCTTAAAGGTTATTACAGCTACAACCCTTGATCCTAACCTACCTTGCTGCTATGTTTTACTAGTCATTCCCTGGATTTGATCTTTGTCCAGAGGTCATTTCCTCCTTGAGAATCTCTTGCTGGCTCAAAAAGGTGTTCTGGGTTCATCCCCTGCTTCTCATCATTTTGTGTAGCCAGCTAGAAGTCAGTTGGCGTTTTCAGTATTCTGCCTGGTAATCGTGGCCAGATCCACAGGTTTATTAGGTAAATGTTTTCCCCTTGGCAACTTCCGTAAGTCCATTAGTTCTACCTTTCACATCACTGCAGGTCAAAGTGTTGCCTTTCATAAGGAGGGCTGCCTTTCGATGATTCCTCATTGTCCTTTCGTTTTCCTGGAGGCCCTAAAGCCTTCATCTTTCGTTCAGCTCCTAAGTTAAGGCCGCGCGTTTCGCTTTGGCCTGGGAGCACCCTATTTCTAGGCGCCACTTCCAGTTTTGGTTATCTCCATAACA